ACATTGTGCCCCCCACTGCATCCCACCATCTTCCCAGGGACGCTTTATTATGCCTATTTGTTGACAAGTCTGCCTCCTCCTTCTAGACAATGTGCTCTTTGAGGGGAGGCTAGATCTTACTGATCTTGGTATCTCAGTGCTTTGCATAGAATTTAGTAAAGAGTAAGAGCCAGATAATATTTGAATAATGCGTGAGTGAAACAATGAATGAACGAACAAATAAACGAGATGGTTTGGTGTCTAGAAAAAAAGTTTAGTCCAAGGGACTGAGACACCTGTCTTGTTTTAATGTGTCTTAGGGCTTCACAATGACCAGCTTCAAAATGACCTGAAAGAGCTAGTTTAAAAGGACCTTTCGGGGCCGTCCCCGTGGCTTACCGGTTAAGTGTGTGTGCTCCGCTACTGGCGGCCTGGGTTCGGATCCCGGGCGGGCACCGACACACTGCTTGTCCGGCCATGCTGAGGCAGCGTCCCACATACAGCAACTAGGAGGATGTGCAGCTGTGACATGCAACTATCTACTGGGGCTTTGGGGAGAAAAAGGGGAAAAAAAGGAGGAAGATTGGCAATTGATGTTAGCTCAGGGCTGATCTTTCTCACAAAAAATAAATAAATGAAAAATAAAAGGACCTTTCTCCCTGATCAAAAAATGGGCAGAGGATACGAACAGACATTTTTCCAAAGAAGATACACAGAGGGCCAACAGGCACATGAAAAGATGTTCAACATCACTAATTAGTAGGGAAATGCAAATCAAAACTACAATGAGATATCACCTTACACCTGTCAGAATGGCTATAATTAACAAGACAAGAAATAACAAACGTTGGAGAGAATATGGAGAAAAGGGAACCATCACATACCGCTGGTGGGAATGCAAACTGGCACAACCACTATGGAAAACAGTATGGAGATTTCTCAAAAAATTAAAAATAGATATACCATATGATCCAGCTATCCCTCTACTAGGTATTTATCCAAAGAAAATAAAATCAACAATTCAAAGAGATTTATGCATCCCTATGTTCACTGCAGCATTATTCACAATAGCCAAGATGTGGAAGCAACCCAAGTGCCCAACAACAGATGAATGGATAAAGAAGATGTGGTGTGTATATATATATATACAATGGAATACTACTCAGCCATAAAAAAGACAAAATCATGCCATTTGCGACAACATGGATGGACCTTGAGGGTAGTATGCTAAGCGAAATAAGCCAGACAAAGACAAACACCAGATGATTTCACTCACATGTGGAAGATAAACAAACACACGGATAAGGAGAACAGATTATGGTTACCAGAGGGGAAAGGGGTGGGGGGGAGGGCTAGAGGGGTAAAGGGGCACATGTGTATGGTGATGGATAAAAACTAGACTATTGGTGGTGAACAGGATGCAGTCTATACAGAAACTGATATATAATAATGTACACCTGAAATTACACAATGTTATAAACCAATATGACCTCAATAAAATAATTAAAAAAAAAAAAGACCTTTTCCAAATCATATAAGAGGAACATAAGGAAGAGGAAGAGAGAGGGCAGCCTGGCTAGGTGGCCAGAGGATCATGCAGGGTGGAGCCAAGACACCCAACAGACACTTGTGAAAATAGACTCTATAACTAAGCTACCAGTAATTTGCACCTGTGTGTACAATTTGTACCCTGATAATCTTCACACCGTGAAAAATGATTATGCTGTCCAAATGGTGGGCTGAAGGTTTAATTGTGATGACTCAATGTTGGATGGAGTGAGAGAGGTAAGGAGGCCTGAGAGGGTAGGGTCACAGCAGAGAATGATGGGGAGGCTGAGGAAACAGAGAGGGCCTTGGGGCCGGCCCCATGGCTTAGCGGTTAAGCGCGCGTGCTCTGCTGCTGGCGGCCCGGGTTCGGATCCTGGGAGCGCACAGCTGCACCGCTTCTCCGGCCATGCTGAGGCTGCATCCCACACACAGCAACTAGAAGGATGTGCAACTATGACATACAACTATTTACTGGGGTTTTGGGGGAAAAATAAATAAATAAAATTATAAAAAAAAAAAAACACAGAGGGCCTTTGTCAGGAGAGAGGAAGATGCTGGGGGAGACCTGAAGAAGAGGGGATTAAGGAAATTAATAAGGACAATAAGAAGAAAGAAAAGAGGGTGAGGGCTGGCCCCGTGGCTTAGCGGTTAAGCGCGCGCGCTCCGCTGCTGGCGGCCTGGGTTCGGATCCTGGGCCCGCACCAACGTACCACTTCTCCGGCCATGCTGAGGCCGCGTCCCACATACAGCAACTAGAAGGATGTGCAGCTATGACATACAACTATCTACTGGGGTTTTGGGGGAAAATAAATAAATAAATAAAATCTTTAAAAAAAAAAGAAAAGAAAAGAGGGTGAGACTGTGAAGACCAGAAAGGAAGGCAAAGTAGGAAGGCAGGAGGCTCTCTATCTTTTCAGCATCCATATCAAACTCAGCCCGCCCAGAGCCCTGTGGGCTTCTCTCTGAAGGCTTCTAAGTCTAGCCACAAGGACCTGGCTCCTGGAAACATGTATTACGCCCCTTCACACCACCATGACTTTCCTCAAGCTATTCTCATGGAGCTAATTTTAACCTTCTTCAAAACTCAGTCAAGGGTGACGCTCTCTTCTGATCCCAGAGCACAAAAGCACCAAGGGCAGCTGGGCTCAGCAAGCACTTTTCCTGGGATCCTGTGGTTGTTGATTTCATTGTTTATCTTTCCTCTTAGACAAAGAGCTTCCTACAGGCAGAAACTCTGACAATTTCATTTGCTGGCTCCAGTGCCCAGTTCAGCGCTGACCCGGTGAAAGACGCTCCAAAAACATTTGTTGAAAAGAATTGCAGCGGAGGAATTCTCACTGAATTTTTGAATGGGGCTATTTCCTTCACAGCATATTTAAGAACACCATCATTTTTAAGTCGTGAAAGCACATATTCTTTACTGACTCTACTCTGGGCCCTCAAGGATATGGTTTTTCACTCTTCGACTTGACCCAATGGGTTCCTACAAATTGGGACCATATACAGAGTTACCAGAAGGGACTGGGAAGACAGCCTGCATGGGTTCATCTAAAACCTATGGGTCCTGAATAAACTTGCACAAGTTCCTCTCACTTCTCTGTGGCTCAGTTGTCCCCATCTGTAAAATAGGGTCAGCATCACAAGGCTATTCGGTGGATTAAAGGAGTTAATAATTAAAAGTGAGTAGAAGAGTGGCCCTAGCACTCGGCAAGCTCACTACATCTTATGTATTATTATGAAATGCGTGTCTTCCCTCAGTATGACACTTGTATTATTCATTCAACAGAAACCGATCCCCTACCGGGCACGCTGCGGGAGTTCAGCCCGCACTGCAGCCTGCCTCAGAACCCATTTGTAGGGGAGCGCACCCCCTTGCCCTGCTTCCATCGGATCCTGAACCGAATGAGCGCAGGCAGTAAAATTCAGAAAGGGGCACAGCTCTCAGCATGGAAAAGCTTCCTCACGCCGCGCTCCTTTAAAGTGCGGTCTCGGACCAACACCGTCGGCATCACCTGGGAGCTCCTGAAACTCTGGTTCAGACCTACTTCCGCGGGGTGAGGGGCAGATCGGTGGCCCGAGTCCTCGCAAGGCCCCTGACCGGCCGGAGCCGAATCTCGGGCGGGCCCCACGCTGCGGCGTGGAGGCGGCAGCCGGCGCCCCGCTGGAACTCGTTAAAGCACTGCCATACTCGACACACCCACACCACTGGCCCAGGCGGCGATGGTGATATCCAGCTCCGAGGGGACCGGCCGGCCGGAGTCCCAGCGTCACCTGGCGGCCAAATGTAGGACCTGCCCTTTCCCGGCTAATGAGTTGCCATCCTCCCGGCGCTCGGGAATGAAGGAACAGGGGTCCTCTGGGGCCGCTAGCTCCCTCATCACCCACCGGGATAGTCAGACCCTGAGCAGACCCCGCCACTCTCCCGGGAACGACCCTTCTCAGGCTGCGGAACCCAGATCTCCGAAGGGAGGCACAGGGACCTGGAGACGGGAGTTTGCAGCCCCTCGCAGTTCCCCTCCTAGCCGCGAGGTGACACTAGTCATCAATTTCTTCCCCAGTTTCCTCTTCTCGTTCAAACTCCGCGCCTCTCTCGCTCCAAGAGACATCGGTCTCGCGAGATCTCGCGTAAACTTACGGAGCCGGAAGCAGCGTGTGGGTCTTTTCCCTCTTGCGGCCATCGCTGAGGCGTCCTCGGGTGAGGATTTGCTGGGATGGGGCGTTTAATCCGCAGCCATCCGTTCACCGGCACGGTGGCTTTCGACCCCTGGGGCCGCGATACCCTCCTAGCAGCGGAATAGCAGCCAGAGGGGGAGTCAAGATGGTCTCGATCTGTTTTCCCCGCAGCTTAAGGGCCGCCGGGCTGAGGAAGGGAGGTGGAGGGGGCCTTGAGGAATCGGGAGCTGGAGGGGAGAGTGCCTGTGGAGAGGGAGTGAAGTCTGGGCGGTGTCGTTTGCTAAAGAATGGTCTCGAAATAACTTCTTGGTAAAGCCGCGGAACTTCCAGACAGCGTTCGCCATTGAAGGCTGTTTGGACCCGAGATTTGTGCAGCATTTTCCAGGTGTGGGGTGGAGGCTGTGATTCATTTATTTCGCAGGGGCCTAAATGTGGTCACAGTCAAGTCCGTAGAAGATTGGCGTTGGTCTTTCTGAAGCGTGATATGTTTGAAGAATAGAGTTGTCGGTCTGCCTTGCCCTAATTCAGCAGAGATACAAGGCTTGTCTTAATCTTTTTGTTTAGTTATTAAACAGAAAGTTTGCAAACGGAAAGTCCTTTATCCCGTAAACAAATGTAGAAAACATCCCAGTAAAGCGAAAATTTTTAAATTTCAAGCTTCAGTTGATAGGACACTAAATTTAAGCAGTTTTTGGTGGGGTTAAAAACATGACAATTTTTGTGAGCATTTTAAACTTTTAAAATGAAATTGTTTCTGTTACTTGTTTGGAAACTGAATGAGAGTTTGGTCATTTAAGGGTTTACACCTCTTTTAACTTTTCATTTAGCCAAAATGAAGTTCAATCCGTTTGTGACGTCTGACCGGAGCAAGAACCGTAAAAGGCATTTCAATGCACCTTCCCACATCCGCAGGAAGATCATGTCCTCCCCTCTTTCCAAAGAGCTGAGACAGAAGTACAACGTTCGGTCCATGCCCATCCGAAAGGACGATGAAGTTCAGGTATATGCCCTGCTCAGGTCGTCTTGGCAAATATGCTGCACACTTGGCGTCGACGACGGATTGCATTCTGAGAGCGATACATCTCAGACGTTTGCTGCCGCAGGATTGCGAAGGGTGTCGAGCCAGGGATGAAAAAACAAAAAATATGCTGCTTTTCAGTTCTTACTTCACCTTTACTTTGGTGAAAATCAGTTGTCCTAAGCATCAAGTGTAGCCATAATTAAACAGAAAAAGAAGAAAGATCGTTTGGAACCAGAACATTACTTTTGGTTTATCTTTTTCTTGGTGTGGTTGGTCCTTGAAGGGGCATTTGAGGACCAGTAAAGAATTCTGTGTCTGAATCAAAATCCAGATACAGAAGTTCTAGCTGAACCATAGTTTCATATGGTTGAGTTTATCAGTAAGTAAGCTGTCAAATCTTATAGTGAAAATTTCTATAGGTGTTTCTTAGCTCTAACCTGCAGCTAGTGATTAGAGAATTCAGTCTCTAAAGCAGCTTACACATGACCAGTGCTATTTCATGCGGTTAATGCCCATTTAAATGAAACCAGTTCCCACCTAGTGATGTGGGTTGAGAACATTGGTTGCTGCTGTGCTAGTGCTAAAATTGCCCATAGATTTGGGAGGCAGTCTTCTCTGCTTTCAAGATATCTTAATGTAAGAAAGTCTGCAACTGGAACGAAACATCTCTTCAGAAGCACTTTGGATTGCTTCCTGACAAGCTGAGGATCGCTAGGACTCGTGGGTTGAAAACTATGTTAGTTAACCTTTGAGAAAGAAGTGGTTTGTTCCCTTAAGTATTTGTTGCTGCCCACTCTTTGGCACTGGGTTGGATACTTTAATGAGTTGTGAATTAAATACTTGTGGCCTTTTGCTCCTTTTGAGATAAAAGAGCAAGTTCACTGTCAATTTGCTACAAAAAGCCACAGTGAGCTCGTTTATAACTTTTTAACAAGCGCACCACTGCTGCTGGACCATTGGTTGTAGGGATGCACTTTCCATCACTGTAGATTTTATGGGGGCATGGTTTATTAGCAGGTTAATTGAAGCCAGCAATAGAATTATTGGCCCATTTCCATTAATAATTAAGTCTTCCAAAGTGGAAAGGTCCTATAGATCTGTTAGATGTTTATAAGATTCATAGTTTTCCAGATATACAAAATTAATCTTGTTCTTTTATTTGCACGTTTCTGTTATTTTTGAATTTGCATTTAGGTTGTGCGAGGTCACTACAAAGGGCAGCAAATTGGCAAAGTAGTCCAGGTTTACAGGAAGAAATATGTCATCTACATTGAACGAGTGCAGCGGGAGAAGGCTAATGGCACAACTGTTCACGTGGGCATTCACCCAAGCAAGGTAGGTGTTTTGAGAATACTTGAGAAGGGAGAGGAAATTATAGCACTTGTTGGCAAATGTGATTGAGTGTTCACAGAGCAATCCCATAGAAATAGATCTTAGATGTTCTGGAAGCCAGTCTTAAAGCAAATACTGTGTTTGAATTGAGTATTCTAATAGCACTTAAAATTTTTATGAAATCAAGATTTTTGTGTGGTGGTGTTTTTTTGTGAGGAAAATCAGCCCTGAGCTAACATCCATGCTAATCCTCTTTTTGCTGCCGAAGACCGGCTCTGAGCTAACATCTATTGCCCATCCACTTCCTTTTTTTTTTCCCCCCAAAGCCCCAGTAGATAGTTGTATGTCATAGTTGCACATCCTTCTAGTTGCTGTATGTGGGACGCGGCCTCAGCATGGCCAGAGAAGTGGTGCGCGCCTGGGATCCGAACCTGGGCCGCCAGTAGCGGAGCGCGCGCACTTAACCACTAAGCCATGGGGCAGGCCCAAATCAAGGTATTTTTAATGTTCATTCTTTATGTATATTTAATGTATCTTTTCCTCAAAAGCTATTAGTAAGCTGATTGGTCAATAATCTAACAATGAACAGATCTTAAAATCTAGGAAATAGGGGAATTTTTAGGTGAAATGGAGTGATACCCTGTTTGCTCTTGTGTGTTAAACAGGATTGAACAAGCAGTAAGGCAGCTTTACAATTCTGTGAAGTATGTATTAAGCCATTTACAGATGGGGGAAAAAACTGAAGCTCAGAGGCTAGATCCCGGTGATAGGGATGTCTAGCCAAGATAGAAAATCTGATCTTATGCCCATAGCAGGTGCCTTCCATGGACTTTAATGGGAATTCTCCCATATTGCTGTTTCTAATTTCTCTCTCCCAATTAAAAAACAGTTAAATTTAGGGGCCGGCCCCATGGAGTGGAGGTTAAGTGCGTGAGGTCTGCTGCTGGCGGCCTGGGTTCGGATCCTGGGCGCGCACCAATGCATTGCTTGTCAGGCCATGCTGTGGCGGTGTCCCACATAAAATAGAGGAAGATCAGCACGGATGTTAGCTCAGGGCCAGTCTTGCTCAGCAAAAAGAGGAGGATTGGCATGGATGTTAGCTCAGGGCTGATCTTCCTCACAAAAAAAAAAAAAATTAATGCAAAGGGAACAGATGCACGTGGTGAATGTTCAAGTACTGAGGTGTTTGTTTTTTAAGATCTTAAGTGGACATCATAAATCTAATTTTCAAACTACAGCAAAGTCAAAAGACTAGTGCAGTAAAACACCTGCATATCTTTCACCTAGAATTCACTATTAACGGTTTGCCACATTTTCTTTACTCCCTTTCCCTACCACGCACACCCCCCCAGTGGATTACTACCATTGTGACACTTCACCTTTAATTATTTAACTGTATCTCCTAAAAGCAAAGACTTTCCCATTCTTTAACCTACTCCAGTCATATTTTCCCACCACCACTACATCTGCTGTTGTGTAGATCACCAGTCCGGTGACTGATTCTTAGTCTTTTTTAACTTATTAGTGCAGCATATGACACAGCTGATCTCCCTCCTTATGGCTCAGTAGTCATCTTCATCTCTTACTCCAGTCTTAGGACTTCAGATAGCTAGATGCAGATGACTCCAACCTAGACCTCAATATCCAGTTGCCTATTTTGCATTTCAACTTGTATATCTAATCGATCTCTCAAACTTAGTATGTTCAAACTCCTGATTTTATGCTTCACACCTCTCAGTTTGCCATCATCACAGTGTATGACATCTCTGTCCTCCCAATTGCTCAGGCCAAAAATGTCCTTTTTGATTATTATATACCCCACGTCAATAAGACCTGTTGATTGCTGTCGTGTTATATCCAGAATCCCGTCTGCTTGTTACCATCAGAGTGGCCTACAAGACCTTATGTGGTGTCTCCTCACCAATCTCTTCACGTCATTTTATTCCACTCTGCATGTTCTAGTCTGCTAGCCTCCTTGCTGTTCCTACAACCATACTACCCAGAGTTTGTCCACCAATTGCAGCATCACCTGGCAACTTGAAGCAGAATTTGGGGGTGGGACCGAGGGATCTGTTTTAACAAGCGCTCCACTTGATTCTTAGACACATTCAAGTTTTAGAAACACACGTTCTCCTGCCTCTGGACTTTGGTACTTGCTGTTCTCTTTGGGACACTTTTACCCAGATGACTCTTCACTTTTACCCCTTCTCTTCAGGTCTCTGATCAAATGTAGCCAGATCAGTAGGGCCTTGCCTTATCACCCTGTATGATTTAGCCCCAGCATTCCATCTCCAGCATTCCATCTCCCCATACTATAATGTAAGCTCCATAATGGCAGAGATTTTCTTTTGGTCACCATACTGTATTTCCAGATCCATTTCAGTGCTCTCTTCCCCCTCCCCTCAGCTTCCTTCATAAGACTGAAATTTTATCATAATCCAGATATCTTCAGCAACTAATTTCCGACCTTATGGTTCTAAAGTTACTATAGAAACAAAAATGTATTATGACTTGGTTAGCTTGTAAAACTTGGGTGAGAGGAGTGGAATAGTTGATTTATTTTGCAGTAGAAAAAGAATCCTAATAAAGCATAAGGAGGATATGAGAAGAACTACTGACATCACATTGCCTTTCTCCTTTGTTGGTAGAGCATTAGTAAACATTTAAGCCAGGTTTGATTTGGGGACTAAAGAATCATCTCTGGCACTTTTGAGGTAATCATTTCATGTTTAGGTGTCTGGTATCCCAGGTTTGGGAAGTGGGATTGAACGTTGGACCTTCCCATGTGTTCTGTATTGGTAATTGTTTAAAGCTTAGAAGGCTTTATTTTATTTTTCTGCAGGTGGTTATCACTAGGCTAAAACTGGACAAAGACCGCAAAAAGATCCTTGAACGTAAAGCCAAATCGCGCCAAGTAGGAAAGGAAAAGGGCAAATATAAGGAAGAAACAATTGAGAAGATGCAGGAATAAAGTAATCTTATCTACAGCTTTCATTAAAAACTCTTGAAATGAAGAGCCTTTGTTTTATGTGTGGTGCTTTGGGACACTACCTAGTCTTCAGTGGGTCGGTTTTCAGGGAAGTTCAAATGACATTTGTTATCTGGAGGCAGGCCGCCCCAGTCTTGTGACTTGATTGCACTAATAAAAAATACTGTTTAAGTAGAGTTAGTTTTTTTTATGTTTGAGCATTAGTTCTCTAATAATAGAAATGCTTTCTAACAATGTTCTGAAACCGGGACTGAGATAGTGATTTTTTACTTATTTTTACAGCAGGCAGCAGCAATTAGGGGTACATCATTACTCATTGAGAAGAAGGCCTAGATGAAAAGCTAGGTGGGAACACTGCCTCTCTTGAACCTGTTACTGTTTTCCTCCTGATGGGCTACTATGTATATGAACATAGCATATTTAAAAAAATTTTTTGCATAAAAGTTTTGCCATTGGATATAAAGTGTTAGAGTAGAGGAGCTGCTGTGACTTCCCAGTAGCATCTAGAACATTGCTTCACGCTGTTTGTGATACATTGAGAAGCGTCAGATTCTGCAGAATACCCCGGACCCCTTTACCATCTTGTTTTATGCCCTGGTGCTGTTTGAGTGCCATTAGACCAAAACTGAAACCTTCAGGTTGCAATCTGAAATAAAAAGTGTTCGTCTAAAGTGCAGGTTCTCTCAGGATTAAGTAAAATGGTGTATATTGTTACTGTTGACAGCACACGTGTGCCCCTGCCCTTCCTCACTTTAGATTAAGCGTCTAAACAGGCAGAATGATGAATGCAGAACGCTTTCTGAGCTGGAGGCATTTATTATGGAGGCTTTGTAACAATGGGGAAATGGGTAACCAATTTGGCTGTAGGGGATCTGAGTTGGGTAAGTGGCATCTTACCCAAGGTCACACCTGTGCCGACCCCAGGTATCACCTAACTTCAGCCGCAGAACACGGAGCAGCCTGCAAGCTGGACAGGACCCTTGCGAGATCCCCCTGCCCAGGAGCTGAGAATAAAGAGGGGTGCGGGCGGCCCCTCGGAGGGGCGGGGCTTCCGGTCGGCGCGGAGCAGCTTCCGGCGCGCTCTTGCGGAGCCGCGGGGCGGAGCGGGCTAGACCGGGTCTTGCGGGTGGAGGGGGCTTCCCGGCCCTGGGGCTCTTGGCGCTTCTTTTTCCCATTGCGGGCCTCCCTCTCTCCTGCAGAAAGACCTGGGCTGGGTGGTCTCCGTCCCTTGCCTCCCTCGGCCCGGTTCATTCACTCATTCATCCCCGAGCTGGCTGCCCTCGGAGGAGTGGGCGGGGGCGGCGATTAGCCGGCGGGACCCGTGTGGAGCGGGGCGCGTGGGAGCCGAGTCCACGGAGGTCGGGGAGCAGGGCGCACAAAGGAGGTGATGCCCGACCCGGGTCTTCGGGGATAAGCGGGAGTTCCTGTGTTGTGGAAGGTTCGGGGACACTCTGTAGTCAGTGCTTTATCTGCCTTATCACCGAGTCTTCGTAACAGCCCGTTGTGATGGAGAGTCGTACTCCCGGTTTTACGGTTAAGGAAACTGAAGCTTCAGTAACTTCGCCCAACTTAGTCACAGTAAATGGTAGTCAGAAATTGAATTTCCAAGCCTAGACTCTTAACCATACCTCTGCACTGCCTCGCTATCATCGCTGTAAGCAAAGTGTTTGGCAAATTTCCTTTGAACATCTTTTGTCGCAGCTTTGTATTCGTCGACCCTCTGAGGGAATAAGCTGGGTAGAAGCCCCAGCCCGTACCTTCTAGGTCGGGTACCCGCGAACCAGTCGACTGAAAAGACAAAGCAAAGTGCTCCGTGAGTGGTGCGGGCTGTTCAGAGGAGGAAGAGATGGCAATCAGCTGGAATTGCTGAATGCATCAGAAAGGAGACTGCTTTGAACTGGGTGTGATTTGGAAGATCAATGGAAGGACATTCCAGGCCGGAGACAGCCAACGCAAAGACTCACAGGTGCGTGAGGAAGGGAGATGTTTCCAGTTTTCTCCAACCAAGCTCATTTATCGGTTACTCCGCCAGCACAGATCACACCGGGAAGCTGACCGCATTTCCTTAGGACCACGTTTCTTTCATGCTGCTTTAGAACAGGTGTTGGAAACTCAGATAACCACAGGCATGGACTGGTAAGGTGGGTAAGTTAGTAGGTGGCTTAGGGACTGTGGGAAGTGGGAGGGCGCAGGCTCTATCTGAAGGGAGCCGCTGCCTCTCCACTCCAGCCAGTTGATGCTAAGAAGCAACGCTCCCATCGTCCCATTTTTCAAGAAAGTCAGAAATCTAGATTCTTATATGAAATTTCCAGATGTGTAAATATAGATAAATCATTCAAATTTTTTTTAAAAACAAACACTGAATAGACTAACCAAAATAAGCCTATTAGTCAAATGTGGCTCGTGGGCTGTGCTTTGGAATTTCATGGTATAGTGTAAGGACCACATCTCATATTAAAGACAGATTTTGCATCTTTTGATTATAAATTATTTCCCAGCCTGTCTTCATTCTTTTATAAGATAGAGATGAGGCTTTTCCTTCCTGTGCAGTTCCCTGAAGGACCTCAAATAGAGGCCAGTGCAGCCACTCAGTTTCTGAGAGATGCTGGTTTCAGTGAGGAGTCTGGAAGGTGCTCTTCCTGGATCCCATAGAATACCTTGTGGTTTCAGGTCTCTTCTGAGGATGACTAGGACTGGGGGATGATAATAGATATTCTTTGGGAAACAAAGTCCCATGTTGATTAAATGGTACTGGTGGATGAAACAAACTGGTTTCTTTACTGCAGAACTTCTCAGAGCCTTTAAATGTCAGTTTGCGCTGAGAATCTTGAACTTCGGCGTAAAGGGCATTTTGCACACATTCTGTTTCTTCAATTCTGCAGTGTACGTGTTTCACATTTTTTAAATTTGGATATATTCATTTAATATAGGTTTTCTGTTTTTCCTCTCAAAAGAAAGTTGCTATTAAGTCAATGGTTTTATAGTCAATAATGTCTTAGAATCAGGAATATTCCACGGTTAACCAGTGATGCTGAACAAAGGAATTTGAAGCCTTTTTAGTGGAGAACGTTCAGGACCTGGAAGCAGGCTCAGCTTAAGGAAGACCTTACTCAGAGCTTTTAAACATTTCCGTCTAGGGCTGACCCCGTGGCTTAGCGGTTAAGTGCTCGCACTCCACTTCTGGCGGCCCAGGTTCAGATCCCCGGCGCGTACTGATGCACCGCTTGTCAGGCCATGCTGTGGCGGCGTCCCATATAAAGTGGAGGAAGATGGGCACAGATATTAGCCCAGGGCCAGTCTTCCTCAGCAAGAAGAGGAGGATTGGCATGGATGTTAGCTCAGGGCTGATATTCCTCACACACACAAAAAAACATTTCCATCTTTCTCTGCTTCTCAGGATTCTGCCCTGCCCCTCAGCTCTGCATTTGATGGCTGGGATCCTGGGGATCTTGTTTTCCTAAAATTGTTGGAATTCCTGTGATCATCATATGAACTCTTCCTCTGGCCTCATCACCATCCTTTATCCTGTAGTTCTAACTGGAGGAATCTTGGTTTAGAGACCTGAGTATCAAGTTCTCTCCTGAAGAATTCTCCGATCTTGGTGGAGTGTGGACTCCATTTGGGGTATCTCTTTTTGGCATGATAATCTCCTGACATAGCTCTATGTCCATAGGTGTAATTTTTCCACTTCTGGGAACACCCTGCTGCCTCAATTCAGAGCCATCAAGCCTGTCCCTCAAAGTGTCTCCTGGCCTTGTAGTGCCCAAGTTCACTTGCACTCTTTGCTTTGTTCTGGAAATGTGTGGGCTTCAGCTCAGGCAGTGTCAAAACAGGCCAGGCCTACAGACCTCGTAGGAGGGCAAAATCCCTTTTCCTCACCCACGAAGCTGGACTCATCTTGTTGGATGTGAGACCTCTACTTATGTTATCTTTTCTTCCATATAATATTCACATGACTCACAATCTGAGGCATTTATGCTGGCACGCCTTCGTTCCTGGTACTCGCCACCGTCTCTTCCCCAGTCCTGCTGCAGCTGCTCCTTAGCCCAGGCCCCAAGACAGAATGGTCCCTGTGGCAGCAGCTGGTGTTGTTTCATGAGGCAGCAACATTTGAGGACATGACCAAAGATTGGAAGTGTTTGGAAGCCTCTTGGAAGGCCTGCTGCAGGCACGCAATGCTGGACAGTTACGAGAACACGGTCCCTCGGGGTAAGGACGCGGAATCTTCATTTACTAATCCTAAATACAATCGACAGGGAAAACAATCATTTAAAAATATCCCTCTGCTTTCTCCCTGACTCTCCTAAAATGAGAACAGATTCCTCAGCCACAAGAAATTGATCGTTTATGTTGATTTTGGGAAGGCTGACAAACCCTCCCTGGTGCTAACTTCCAGTTCAGAGTTTGCTATTTTTATGGGTTACCTGCTAGCAACGTTTTCCCGTTTATATTATTTTAAAAGGTACAGATGGTAAAATATTAACCTACTGCATTAGGGATTTCCATTTATCCTCTCTCCTATTCGATTAATAAAAACCAGTTAATCAGATTTCGCTGTATGAGCTAATAGTTTCATTATTTCTTCTGTTTGCCTGAAGTCTAAAATTACTACATATGTATATGTATATCTCACTGATTTAGAATTCTGTTGACATGCTCTGATTTTGAATGGTCCTAGTTGGCTTTCTAGTAGCTTTTTTCTGTTACTGCTTTATTCTATTACTTTATTATCTTTCTTCCTTATAAGAGTCTTCAAAAATCAGATGAAAGAATCAGTGAGGAACTTTGGCAGGAAGGTCTTCCAGATGGGGTAACAGCGAATTTAACTTTGTTCTGTTTCTTTCTCCCTTTCTTAGGGTCCTTCTTGCAGTTCTCTATGTTGCCACAGAGAGCTGGAAATGATGCCCCTGGTGTTTCAAATACAAATGAAATGGAAATGGAGAGAAGTAACATGAGAGAAAAGTTTCTTATAAGCGTGACAAAGTTAGTGGAAAGCAAAAGTTACAACAGCAAGGTATTTTCCAAAGAAAAGTACTTTCAAACAATAAAAGAAGTCAAAGAAGCTAAGGAGAAGGGGAAGAAGTCGTCACGTGATTATCGCCGTGCGGCTAAATATGACGTGATCTCTGTTCAAGGCACAGAGAAACTGATAGAGGCTTCTCACGGAGAACGAGATCGAATACGGTATTATGTACATAAGGAAGAGTTGTTTGATATTCTTCATGATACACATCTCAATATTGGACATGGTGGGCGGACACGCATGCTCAAGGAGCTGCAAGGAAAATATGGGAATGTCACCAAAGAAGTCATTGTCTTATATCTGACTCTGTGTAAACAGTGTCACCAGAAGAACCCAGTACCCAAGAGAGGCCTTGCACCCAAGCCCGTGCCTTTCAGGGACATTGACTCCAGATGCCAAGTTGAAATACTTGACATGCAGTCAAATGCTGATGGTGAGTTCAAGTTTATTTTATATTACCAGGACCACTTGACCAAGTTTATTATTTTACGACCATTAAAAGCCAAACAGGCCCATGAGGTGGTCAGTGTCCTATTGGATATTTTCACAATTCTTGGTACACCCAGCATGTTAGAATCTGACAGTGGCATAGAGTTCACAAACCAGGTTGTTAATGAGCTCAATGAGATATGGCCAGACCTAAAGATTGTCTCTGGTAAGTACCACCCTGGCCAAGGCCAGGGCTCCCTGGAGCGAGCAAGCTATGATGTCAAGAACATGCTAAGTGCCTGGTTGCAGAGTAACCACTCACGTCACTGGGCCGAAGGCCTGCGATTCATACAGATGGTGAGAAATCAGGCGTTCGACGTTTCTTTACAGCAAAGTCCGTATGAGGCAATGTTTGGTTGTAAAGCCAAACTTGGACTATATTCCTCACACTTACCCCGGGAAACTGTGGCTGTTTTACAAACAGAGGAAGAACTGGAACTTGCTGAAGAGCAGCTAGAAAACAGCCTTTGGATCAGGCAGGAAGAAAGGGCTGAGAATGGAGGAGACAGATCTGATGTGGATGAGGACATCGATCCCACTCCTCCTGAAGCTACAGAGCCCAGCACCTCACAAGGGGCTCCCGGTCTCTTCTGCTGGTGAACAGACACCTGCTGGGTGGACGCTCTTGGTGTCTCTGGGCAATGGACAGCCATCTGAGAACTGTTGTCAAAGGCCCCCGGGAAAGGAACATGAAGGCTGCACCCTCAAGTCAAGTTGTCCATGATAGTCCTTGCTCAAAGGGGAAAAGCAAATCAGGTTGTGATCTAGGGCTGCCATAACAAATTACCACAAACTTGGCAGCTTATAACAACAGAAATTTATTTTCTCATAGTTCTGGAGGCCAGAAGTCTAAAACCAAAGTGTTGACGGGGTTTGTTCCTTCTGGAGGCTCTGAGGGAGAATCCATTCCATGCTTTTCTCCTTTCTCTGGTGGCTGCCAGCAGTCCTTGGGATTCCTTGGCTTATAGTACCATAAGTCCAGTCTCTGCCTTGTCTTCACATGCTGTTCACATGGCCTTCTCCTCTCTGTCTCTGTGTGTGTTCTTTTCTGTCTCTTATAAGGACACCATTGGATACCAAATCCATGTCGTTGGATTTAGGGCCCACCCTAATCGAGGATGATCTCATCTCTAGATCCTTACCTTAATTACATTTGCAAAGACCCTTTTTCCAAGTAAGGTCACATTCATGGGTACTGGGGGTTCAGACTTGGACTTATCTTTTGCAGGGGGACACAGTTCTACCCACTATAGTCAGTAGAAGAACATGTTTGCCTGCAGAATATGAACTGAGGGAGTCTTAAGCGTGTAGAACTGGTGAGACTGCCCTACGTATATCTAGTATGCTAGATATACTTCCCCTGCTTATTCCTACTCCTCGGACACATACCCCAAAAGATGGGGGCATCAGAGGAAAAGATGTAGGTGAAGGACAAGTAATGAGAAGAAAAGAGGTTAATCCAACATGACCTAAAGACTGGCTGCCTCACCAGCTGAGCTATTTCCTGCTTCAAGAGAAACCATATGTGCCATCCCTGCTCTCAGAATGGCATGCACAGGGAATTGTGTGCCCTGCCTGAAACATTTTAAAAATAGGTCAGAATTAAGGCATGGCTGGGATTTGGGTCTGAGTCTACCAGTTTTCTATGCCTCAAGCATAGAAAAGCATGTTGTATTCCTGGAACGGGTTAGTGCATTCCAGGAAGTGACCAATAGCCTGGGAAACAATCAAGATCTCCAGCAAAATACAAAAGTTGGCCTGAGGTCACTGCTCCAGCCAGAGAATGGGGTAAGGGCCAGTCTGAGTCATTGTTCAGAGTAAGGATAATTGACCCAGCCAAAGGGAAGGATAATGCCCAGGGTCTGTGTACACTGTATTCCTAAGGCCTAGAAGAGTGCCTTGCCCATCGGAGGTATTCAGTAAGGATTTGTTGAATGAATAAATGATTCTATAGAGTGAACACAGGGAAGGAGAAGGGGCCTACAGTCTTTTATTCTCCCACACATGCTTCCTGCATATGCCAGAGCCATCTAAAAACCATTCTAATTGCCCCTGGTGCTGGTTTCCTCTTCTGTTTCCTCTTCCGCGTGCCTACTTCACAGAGTTGTTGTGAGAGCCAGTGAGGTAATGTATGTGAGGGGGCTTTCTCTGTAAACACTGAAGTTCTACAACGTGAGTTGTCTTTGCTGCTAGCAGATCCTATCCTCCAAGTGAGAATTGGAGACTTCTGTCCATTGACATTACATTGCTAAATAAACAATGTTAAGTTGGGGATCCAGGGAGGCTGCATTGTTATTGGAAAGGAGGTGACATCACTTTCTGGCTTGTTTTGGGTGGCCAGAACCTTGCTCTATCCTTAGCCAGCACCTCACTTTCCATTCCTCTTTTGTCCCTCAGCCTGGCAGGGTCTGGGAGGCCCAACTTGACTAACGCAACCATCCCTTCCCCCGTGCTGACCTATTACCTTCTGGTTGCTGGGCAGACCAGGAACCACATAATCAGCTCATGTGGGTGAGGGGTGAGATGAGGCACAGGGCTGCTGTCTTTCCCGGGGGCTGGCTATCAATAACCTAGGTTTCCGGAGTTGCTGCACCACTCTTCCTCTCTTGCTTGTTAATATTGGCAGTAGAAGAGAGTTGGAGGTGGACACTTAGACCCAGTCTGGCCTTACTCTGTATTATCACATTTCAGCATCTGGAATGGAGGTAACCAAGTGGTGCGCCACTGGCTGCTTTCAGCTTGCAAATATGTTTTGTCCACATAATGTTTTTTAAACTTTAAAAATTAATTGCAATCTGGATGTCTAGTACCTCTTGAAAACTTGGAATATCTGGCCACACTAGGCCCACATTTCTGCGTAGCATCAAAAGACGAGCTAAGTGGTGACCCCCAGGAGGCAGTCCATGCATGCGTTCTCCGTTTGTCCACCATCTGTGTCACTCATAATATATGTATATGCGTTTCTGTGGCTATTGCTAAAGAAAGGCAAGTGAAGTCAGAATGTGAATAAAAGCCAGAAACAGACCTGTATACCTTTAGGGATTTATGACGAAAGTGGTGTTTCAGATCAGTGGTGGGGGATGTATTGTTCAATTAATGGTGCTGGATCAGTTAGCTATCTATCTGGAAAAAAAAGGAAGTCTGATCCCAAAACATGAAAAACAAAACTGTATTGGGGGAAAAAATAGAAGATTTTTGTGGTCTTGGAATGGAGAAAGGCTTCCTAAGCAATACATGAAATTCAAAAGCCATAAGAGAAAAGATTAATATACTTGGCTACAAAAAAACTTTAAATATTTATAGAATTTTTAAAAAGAAAAGATAAGTGACAAGATGGGAGAAAATATTTGCAACATCTACAACAGAAGAAAAAAAAAACAGATATAAGGTACCTAATTTTAAAAAGAGCTCTTACAAATTAATACTAACTAAAAGAGCAACCAATAGAAAATGGGTAAAGGCTAACCACAGAAGGAAGTAGATGGGTAGGGCCGGCCCCGTGGCTTAGCAGTTAAGTGCATGCGCTCCACTGCTGGTGGCCCCGGTTCGGATCCCGGGTGCGCACCGACGCACCGCTTCTCCAGCCATGCTGAGGCCACGTCGCACATACAGCAACTGGAAGGATGCAACTATGACATACAACTATCTACTGGGGCTTTGGGGGGAAAAAAGGAGGAGGATTGGCAACAGATGTTAGCTCAGGGCCGGTCCTCCTCACACACAAAAAAGAAAGGAAATAGATGGGTAGTTATGCCTCATGTTGTGCCATGTGCAGCTGTGGTGTGATGAAGAGCACTGGACTTGTAATGAGATTGTGGCAGTCAGTTTAAATGAAACAGACTTGAGTTATTTGAGAGTTTATTTTTTCCACCTTGCATGTGGGAGAAAAGTGCTCAGTGAGCCTGTCTTGATATAACAATTCTTACTTATAAGGAGGTACAGTAATTGCCACATTATTTTCAGGGCAGCTGAATTAGTTTCCTGGGGCTACCATAACAAACTGGGTGGCTTCAACAACAGAAATTTATTGTCTCACAGTTCTAGAGGCCAGAAGTCTGAGATCAAGGTGTCGGCAGGGTTGGTTCCCTCAGAGGGCTGTGAGGAATAATCTGTTCCGTGCCTTTCTCCTTTTTGGTAACCTCAGGTGTTCTTTGGCTTGTGGATGACTTTCTCCCTATGTGTTCACATTGTCTTCCTTCTGTGTGTGTCTGTCTGTCCAAGTGTCCCCTTCTTAGAAGGACTCCATCATATTGGATTTAGGGCCCACCCTAATGACCTTTTTTAACTTGATCATCTGCAAAGACCCTATTTCCAAAGAAGGTCACATTCACAGGTACTGGAGATTAGGAGTTCAACATCTTGGGGGCAACAGACACAATTCAACCCATAGCAGCAGCCAACCAGAATGGTGGCTTTTTTAGAGATAATTTTTATGAGGCATGGCAACAATTTCTAGTCTTAGAAGACTTAAAAGTCCCTCTGTTCAAATAACACTTGCAAAGGGCAAATTTATTTTAACAGAAAACAGATGAAAGTGGTACCAGTTATAAACATTCACATAAATCTCCATTTTGTACAGGAGAAACACTGACATTCTTGAGAAAGATCTTAATTTAATACCTTGTTCAACAGGAACATTTGGCTTAGTTTTATGTTGCAAAATGGTATCTCTCCCTCCACATCTGCAGGAGAGAGAATGTTGCCATATCTGTCTGAGATTCCTTTTGTTAATTATGAAGACTTGGATTTTTAAGGCTGATCTCTGGAATTCTGTTATGAGACGACGTATGGAACTCGGTTTTACTAGAAAAAAGAAATGGTGAGCGGGCTGGAGAAGATTTTATGTAACAGTCAAGTGAGGATCCTGTAGCATTTTTCTTCCAGGGGGCTCAAGTTCTGCCTCTGCATATAAACTAGATATGTAACCTTGAACAAGTCCCCTGACCTCAAGGCTCATCTGTAAAATGGGGATGATAATAATAATCCCAACTTCATGGAGCTGTGATGAGGTTTATGAGAGAGGGTATGTGGGTGTGGCGGGAGGGGTGCCGTTTTCTCTCCAGTTTAGGAAGCTTTCACAGAGTTCAGTCTCTGCCAAAAGAGTGACCAGCCAAACAAAGGCAAGTCCTCTCCTCCAAAAAACACAAAAGAGAGCTAGAGGCAGGGTAGCCAACCTGGGCAAGTCCTATCCCTGTCCATGCTGGGCTAGGTCCTCCAGCCTGGCTTCTGCCACTGACACAGGGTTCATTGACCTTGTGCCACAGTCCCTCTCCCTATTCATATGCACAGCTGCATTCCAAGCCACAGGCTGCCCTGGAGCCTTGGGTGTGGACAAGCTTAGCCCTTTAAGGTTGAGTGCACAGCTGCAGTTCACACACACACACACACACACACACACACACACACACACACACTGGCCCCTGGATTTGGGAGTGCAGTGGAAAGCTACTCTGGTCCTCAAATATACCTCTCTCTCTCTTTTTTTTTTATTGTAGTAAGAACACTTAATATGAGATCTACCCTCTTAACCAATTTTTAAGTGTACAGTACAGTGTTGTTAACCATAGGCAAAATGTTGTACAGCAGATCTCTAGAATTTAATCATCTTGTGTAACTGAAACTTGATAGCCGTTGAATAGCAACTCCCCATTTCCTCCCTCCTCCCAGCCCCTGGCAACCACCTTCTACCCTCTGCTTCTCTGTGTTTTACTATTTTAGATACCTCATATAAGTGGAATC